GTGAGTTGAACTCTTACTGCATTACTCCCCTTCATTATAGTTGTGGAAGCTTAAAGGTCAACTTCCACCACAGGTCAAGAGGGAATCCTCACAGGGGCCACTGGGGGTAAGGCAAATTTACAATAATATATATATATATATATATATATATATATATATATATATATATATATATATATATATATATATATATATATATATATATATATATATATAATACACACACACACACACACACATACTTAACAATTTGCAGACGGGCGAAATTATTTGCAAGCATTATCTCTCAGTCTACAACAGGATTCGAACCTACACACTCTGCATCAGAGTACGTAGTACTTACGAGTGGGATCTGGCCGATTGGCGTAAGTACTAAGTACTTTGACGTAAAATGTATAGGTTCGAATCCTGCTGAGGACCGAGAGATAGTGTTTGTATACGCAGTTTCTATTTTTGAATATTTCATGTATATTTTTCTTTTGATTCTCTAAAAGTTCATCTTTAATATGAGAGATGTGTGTGTAAATCACTGGACGTATGACTTATGGCAGCATAATGAAGTGTAAACATTCGTCGTGTCTTCTGTGCAACTTTATGTATCTAATATACTTATTTAATTTAATATTTGAAATGTTAGAGTTTGGTTAATATTGTCTGTGTCTGGCTTAACTTTAAACTGTGACGCGTACGTTTACACGGGATATACACGGGATATATACGGGATATATACGGGAGATATTCGGGAGATATTCGGGAGATATACAAGAGATACACGTGAGATACTCCGAGAAAATATTGCAACAGATTACTGGATGAAACTAAGTGTTTTTGGACAACTTTCAGGTAGAATAAACACTTTTAGGTATAATATTTAAAGAAATATTATATATATATAATATATATATATATATATATTATATAATATATATAAAATATGCACGTATTTCTGTTAACTTGAGTCGAAAAGAAAATTTGTGCGAAGAATTTTGTGCAATTTTGAATGCATGTATATTTTTATTACTAAAGTAGTTTGGTTCTGCAGATCTACAATAAAATGTGAGTTCATTATGTTGTGAATGTTAATTCAGTCCTTTTTTTTTTCTTGTGTATCAAAATTTTTATTATGGGACGAGGTGCGTGGGTTGGGATAAATTTGGCGTTGTGTGCACAAGTTCATGAAGGTTAGACAAACCTGTTCTACATGATCATAAAACCTCACATACAGAAGCGTCCCACTTATACAGCAGGTCAGGTTCTGGGCTACCACTGTAAAGTGAAACGTAGCCCCTTTTTTTCACTTTCAAATGCATATAAAAGCCTGTTAACATGTTTACACTATCATATATTAAGTGAGCAATACAGCTAGGTCTAAAAAATGCTTATACAGCACACACATTACTTAAAATATTTTCGTCCATAGCTTATAGTTAGTGGTGAATATATGATTGAAAACTTCTGCATTAGTGGGATGCCGTAAAACGAAGCGCTGTAAAGCAGAGCCAACTTATATATTGCAAGTGACTAAACATGGAAAACATTCCCAAAACATGTTATGTAATAAGATTTCTTTGACTTAAGTGGATTTGGCATTTTCAGAATTTAAGACCATATTTAATATGAGTCTTAAGTATAATGGAACTTGCAGTAACTTCAGAATTGGCTTCCTCATGAAGCCTTCTTGTTCTTAACTATTTGTAGTCACTTTAAGGATAGTTACAGAATGATAACTATGTTAGTGGTCTCCCATCTTAACTAATTTCTGTAACATAGAGTGTTTGACAAATTCCCATTTGACGGTAGAACTTGCTACATTCTCTCTTCAGTCTGTGTCATTCTTCCCGCACTAGATTTGTATCCCTTCAAGGAAATATGTATCCCTGGATACATCTTTGTCTGTGTAAGCCGGAGTACGGACCACCTGCAAGTGGCATTAGTTTGTGTGTTACCGAGGTGAGAGAGAGAGAGATAAGGCGGGGGGGGGGGGAGTTGAGAGTGAGAAAAGTGTGGGGAGTGTGAAGGTAAGGTAAAGTGAGGGAAGAGATTGAGAGTGAGGGGAGAGAGTGAGGGGAGAGAGTGAGGGGAGGGAGTGAGGGGAGAGAGTGAGGGGAGAGAGTGAGGGGAGGGAGTGAGGGGAGAGAGTGAGGGGGAGAGAGTGAGGGGAGAGAGGAGGGGAGAGAGTGAGGGGGGGGAGTGAGGGGAGAGAGTGAGGGGAGGGAGTGAGGGGAGAGAGTGAGGGGAGAGAGTGAGGGGAGGGAGTGAGGGGAGAGAGTGAGGGGAGAGAGTGAGGGGAGGAGTGAGGGGAGAGAGTGAGGGAGGAGTGAGGGAGAGAGTGAGGGGAGGAGAGTGAGGGGAGAGAGTGAGGGGAGAGAGTGAGGGGAGGGAGTGAGGGGAGAGAGTGAGGGGAGGGAGTGAGGGGAGAGAGTGAGGGGAGAGAGTGAGGGGAGAGAGTGAGGGGAGGGAAGTGCCACTTTAACCAGCACTGGCAAGCTTCAGGAGAGCGAGTGTGTGTCGCCTCTGCTTTTGTTGTGTTACCTTCCCTATCTTCACCTGTGAAGCCTACCAGCCTGCCTGCCTGCCTACCTACCTGCCTGCTTGCCTGCCTGCCTGCCTGCCTGCTTGCCTGCCTGCCTGCCTGCCTGTCTACCTGCCGGCATGCCTTCCTACCAGCCTATCTGTCTGCCAGTTTTGGGGAATAAAGTAGACCAGGGTAAGGTAATAAGTAGACCAGTAAGGTAAAGTAGACAAGGGTAAGGTAATAAAGTAGACCAGGGTAAGGTAATAAAGTAGACCAGGGTAAGGTAATAAAGTAGACCAGTAAGGTAAAGTAGACAAGGGTAAGGTAATAAAGTAGACCAGGGTAAGGTAATAAAGTAGACCAGTAAGGTAAAGTAGACAAGGGTAAGGTAATAAAGTAGACCAGGGTAAGGTAATAAAGTAGACCAGTAAGGTAAAGTAGACAAGGGTAAGGTAATAAAGTAGACCAGGGTAAGGTAATAAAGTAGACCAGTAAGGTAAAGTAGACAAGGGTAAGGTAAAAAGTAGACCAGGGTAAGGTAATAAGTAGACCATAAGGTAAAGTAGACAAGGGTAAGGTAATAAAGTAGACCAGGGTAAGGTAATAAAGTAGACCAGGGTAAGGTAATAAAGTAGACCAGGGTAAGGTAAAAGTAGACCAGGGTAAGGTAATAAAGTAGACAAGGGTAAGGTAATAAAGTAGACCAGGGTAAGGTAATAAAGTAGACCAGGGTAAGGTAATAAAGAAGACCAGGGTAAGGTAATAAAGTAGACCAGGGTAAGGTAAAAGTAGACCAGGGTAAGGTAATAAAGTAGACCAGGGTAAGGTAATAAGTAGACCAGTAAGGTAAAGTAGACAAGGGTAAGGTAATAAAGTAGACCAGGGTAAGGTAATAAAGTAGACCAGGGTAAGGTAATAAAGTAGACCAGGGTAAGGTAATAAAGTAGACCAGGGTAAGGTAATAAAGTAGACCAGGGTAAGTAATAAAGTAGACCAGGTAAGGTAATAAAGTAGATCAGGGTAAGGTAATAAAGTAGACCAGGGTAAGGTAATAAAGTAGACCAGGGTAAGGTAATAAAGTAGACAAGGGTAAGGTAATAAAGTAGATCAGGGTAAAGTAATAAAGTAGACCAGGGTAAGGTAATAAAGTAGACCAGGGTAAGGTAATAAAGTAGACAAGGGTAAGGTAATAAAGTAGACCAGGGTAAGGTAATAAAGTAGACCAGGGTAAGGTAATAAAGTAGACAAGAGTAAGGTAATAAAGTAGACCAGGGTAAGGTAAAGTAGACCAGGGTAAGGTAATAAAGTAGACCAGGGTAAGGTAATAAAGTAGACAAGGGTAAGGTAATAAAGTAGACCAGGGTAAGGTAATAAAGTAGACCAGGGTAAGGTAATAAAGTAGACCAGGGTAAGGTAATAAAGTAGACAAGGGTAAGGTAATAAAGTAGACCAGGGTAAGGTATAAACTTTGTGGCTGGAGGTGTGACCATAAGAGCGAATTGGATGAGCCAGCGGGAGGTTCATGAGGTACGTGGGTGAACCACTCTGCTGCAGGCTGGCAGGCAGGCAGGCAAGCAGGCTGGCAAGCAGGCAGTGAGTGAGGGAGGAAGGAAGAACGGAAAAGAATGAGGGGGAGGAAAGATGGAAGGGACAGAGAAGGAAGGAAGGAGGAAATAGAAAAATATAGTGATGGAGGAAGATGAGAGGGAGGGTGGATGATGATGATGATGGTGAGGGAGGGAGGGAGGAAGTATACATGCAGGTGTACACCTGACACGCACCTACCACTAATTAACAAGTTGCAGTTCAAAAGTAAAGTTGTGCTCCTGGTTTGTCCTCTCTGAATTTATCATCAAAATATTTTGTCCTCCACTGGTTGTAGCTTACACTGTCTGCTAGTGTGTCTTATTACCACTATCTTCAACTTTCTACCACTGTTAGAACTGTTACTTGTACCTTCATACACAGCCTTCTCTTAATTACAAACTTTGACTTTCATTTAATTTTTCTTCGTAATTTAAGTTAGAGAAAAATTTGTCTTATTCCTATTCAAACTTAAATTTTATATTATTACATGTTGCACTTGTTCATGTCTTGCAAGGAGAGCGTCTGCAGCTTCTTCGATCTTTCTTCGTAATTCTGATGTTCCGAGACAGGAATAATTTTAGTTCGTGGAAAGGGAAGGAAGGGGAAAGTGTGTTGTGTGTGAGCTTCATAGTCATGTAGGCTTGGTATAAGTTGTCATTGTTAATCAATCTTCATCTGTACAAGTCCAGGCTGTCCTCTGGCTGGATGGTATTATAAAAAATCTCCATGACATTGGTATAGCTTTATATTAATTATTATTTATTAGCGTCGGTTAAAATGATGAAGACTACGAGTTGCCTAGCAAACCTGACAGTCACACGTGAGGAACAATGCAGAGTGCAGAGATGAGGAAGCCTTGCAACACGACCCTGTGACACTCCCAGGCAAAAATGTGCAA